AGCTGGGTCCAAATCCCACAGCCAAGATTTTATTTCATAGGAATTACCTCTGAGTAATACCTTTCCCTTTAAGCAAGCAGTTCGTTCCAACTCCTTGCTGGCAGCCCCACGCTGATGATTATAGTCCGCGAGCCTGTCTACCACTGGGAAAAAGCATCCTTATAAAGCTTTTAGGCAACCAGTGGGCTACCTGCTCTGCCCCCTTTCCCAGCACTGACAAAGAAAAGCCAGGGCTCACTGTGAACCTCAGGGTGAGGTCCGGGTTTCAGGCTAGGAGACAGATGTCCTATCTTTGCAAACACAGCCACCTGGAACTGAAAATCCCCGTTTGAAAAAGAAATATTTAACTTACAGCCCATACGACATGACCCCTAAGAACTGTACAATCTGTAAACTAGGAGGACTATAGCCTTGATCTCTTGAAAATGGAAAGGAATTTCCCTCCAGCTCTCCCCACCTCATGCTCCAAATTCCCTGAGTCCTGGACTGTGTGTTTTCCGAACACAGCAGTGCCCTCCCATGGCTCTGCATCTTTATCTGAAATGTCCTCCCAGCGTCCCAGTCCCTGGCTGAGTGGAGGTCTCAGCAGCTTCCCCGCTTGGCAGGTGAGGCTCTGCTCTCCCCAACGCCTGCTGCACTTAAAAAGTCACCTGGCATGCCGCCCGGTGGTCCCTTTTTTATGTCTTAATCCGTCCCCTCCCCTGCCTCCCTTCAAAGACCACACATTCCACAATAAGGGCCATGTCTTAATTATCTTTGCTTCCTTGGCACCTTGAGAGAGCTGAACACATGCTCAATAAATGTATAATAAAGAGGTGATCAAAAAAATCAATGATTGTGACCCAAAGCTGAGTCTCACTGCCGTGACTCTGTAGGCTCTAGGAGATGGAACCAGGACACACAGAGGCACTATTACCGCTTCATCGCAATGCCATGATGAACAAAAAGTCTCAATGGCTGGGGAGGTAAGACACAGGCACCGAGGGGCAAACTGTCCTAGAAGGCAGACCCACTGAGGAGAATGTGACCCGTCTGCTGCAAGGAGCCTCAGATCCTGCCCCAAACCCTCCCCTCCCCCATAGGACCCGCTGGAGAACTTCGAGCTCTGCGCCAAATAAACCACCCAGAGTATTTGAGAAAAATGAGACTCTTCTGCAGAATAATCTATTTGTGGGAGACATGTGCTCCTGGAGCAGCTGTAAACCATGATATTTTTTCCATTTACTTACAACATTAAATTGAAAATTTGTTCCCATGAGGGAATTTTTTTTTTTTTTACCACTCCTCCAAAAACCAAATAAAAGAATGTAGAAAACCTATTAAAATCGCATATTGAGAGAAATAAAAATGACACTGTTCAGATAACATCAGCACCACTGCCCAGAGGCAAAAAATAAAAATATACCATGAAAGTGGAGGCCTTTCCCACAAATACCGTGCTGATCTAGAAAGGAAATTCATCTCTGATTTTGAAAGGCCGATTTCTATCCCAAAGCAGGAGTCTGTTGGGAGTTTGATTTTACTTTGGGAATTACGGTCTGTGTGAGCGATTCTGCACAGGTAAAATGAAGCTGAGCTAACCTAACCATCAACACGGCCGTGCAGGGGTAAGACGCATTCTCCAAGGTACCACTTGCATTTGGACATAAGCTTGGCTACCCATGGCTCATTCTTTATACCTGCACCCTCATTAAAGCCAGGTTGCTTCCGCCATTCCATCTGGGCTCTTTACTGCAACTCTACTCCCCCTGCCTCTCAGATCTCTGCGGTTCTCAGCCCCCTTCTCCATGACGCACCGTTCAGCGCGCACATAATCGAACGTTTAACTTTGCATGCCCTTGGCTTGTCCATTAATTCCTTCATGAGTTACTTTTTTGCTCCCTTGGTTTTAATCTCACATTGGGACTTTCTGGACCCCCAGAGAACCTGTGGAGTGCTGAACAGGGGTTTGGTGACTATTTATGGGTTTGTTATTATTCAAAAGGAGAGTCTTTAATTAATACGAGAGAGCTGGGGGGGGGTGGTTCACAGCCTTGGGGCTGAAAGCCAGGGGTTGGGAGATGGACGTGGACTCAAGCTCCAGCACCATCGCTTTCTACCTTATAACTCGGAACAATTTCTTCTTTTCTCTCAGCTAATTTGCAATTCTCAAAATTGAGGATAATAATAGCACTTTATGGCACTATTGGAGGGGTCAATGAAACAAGGGATAGAAAGCACTTAGCACAAAGAAAGGTCCAGTCTCATGAAGAGTAAGTACACACCAAGTATTCAATGCATGTTAGCTATGGTTGAAAACATGTGGCAAGACAAATTTGTGTCGAACTGTTGGGTTAGGAGGCTGGGCAGGGCATGCAGGAGGAGGGAGCTGTTACCAGCAGCTTCTGCTCCAAAGGGACTTGGCTTTGTATCCCTGGTAGTCTTTTCATACTGCAATAAGAGAAGTTTGATGTCTTCTCTTTGGCTCTTTAAAATAATTTCTGGTAACTATAAGTACACAGGTACCTATGTTTTTGTTTTTGTTTTTTTTACAAATTTAAAATGTATCTACTTTGAGGGGCGCCTGGGTGGCTCAGTCCATTAAGCATCTGCCTTCAGCTCAGGTCAGGATCCTGGGGTCCTGGGATCGAGCCCTGCGTCAGGCTCCTTTCTCAGCTGTGGGGAGTCTGCCCCTTTTCCCTGCTCATGCTCTCTTTCTTCTCCCTCAAATTAAAAAAAAAATCTTTAAAAAAGAAAATAAGAAATAAAAATGTGTCTACTTTGATACTTACCCTATGGTTACAGAGGAATATTAATTTTGGGGGGCAGAAGGACTAGGTGAAGGGGACCCTGTACTACTTCTGAAATTTTTTTTTTAATTTGGACCATGAGCTCCATCTGTTACAGCTTATTATTTATATTTGTGTTCTCACTACATCAAAGTTAATTCTGATTCTGATAACCTACAATTACTCTCAACTAAAAGTTTTAGACAAATCATTACCTATTAGTTACTTCCTTGAGCTTGGGTTTCCATGCTTAGGATTAGACTTCCCTAACACAAATTACAACCATATTTTAAACATAGATTTGCTATGGACTGAATTATGTGTCCTCCCAGAATTCATATGTTGAACCCCTAACCCTTAACCTTTAATGGGAATCCTGGGCCCCTTGAATATGGGGCCTTTGGGAAATAATTATATCCCAACAGTGGGACCCTCTTGATGGGATCAGTGTTCTTATAAGAAGACACACCAAAGCACTCGCTTCCTCTCTCTTTCCATCCCCAAGTGAGGACACACCTAGACAATCATCTACGAACCAGAAAGGACAGTCCTCATGGGGAACCAAATTAGCAGTTCCTTGATCTTAGACTTTCCAGCTTCCACAACTGTGACCAATGAATGTTTGTGTTTAAGCCACCCGGTCCATGGTATTTATGACAGCAGCCAGAATTAAGACAATGTTACAGTTCTTATTGATACTATCATTGAAATATATTATCTCTGCTTGTAGCAATTAAACATCCAACTATTAAATGAACCACCTGCTTGACTTTGGGCCAGTGATGTAAGTTCTTGATGCCTTCATCTCTAAAGTCAGGATAACCAAGTAAATGACCACTTAGGTTTACAGAAGTTAACTACGCATCCTGTTCAGAAAGTGCCCCTTTTGTGGGGACCACTCGTGTTGGCTGGTGTTGCCGTTATTATTAACCTCTTGCCGGATTTCCGTTCATAGAGCAGAGCTCGATCTATGCAAAGCATTTTAGACGGATTCTCAAGACCCTTGACCTAGATTGTTGCTCTAAGTTAGACTCATTGGCTTTTGAGTGTGGAAAACCTATGTCTAACTCAGTGAAGGGTGCTGTCCCCTAAGATGATCCTGCAGAATCGTGAATCGAGTTCAACTCTCGGCCACGACGGGGTAATGAGGACAATACTCGCTGTGCCCATGTGACAGGACGTGTCTTTCCTCTTCCGCGTACCGTGTGCCCCCACCCCAGCCAGGGCATCTGGGACAGGTGAGCTTCTGGAGGCTCAGAGAAGACCATGGAAAGCTCAAAGCAGCAAAGCAGCCCCATACGGCTGCTGCTTTTATTACAGGAGAAGGCACGGGGCCCGTCCAGTGTGCGGTGTGCTCTGCTGCGTTCAGAAACAACACGCACGAGGGCTGACCATTCAGACACTCTCGCCAGGGCATTCTTGCCTCTCAGTGGGCTTTGCCCCTCACCGTGAAGCTCCGAATGGTTCCCTGCGAGGTCTATTGTACTGCCCACAGCAGCGGCTTTGTAAAGTGTTGGGAAAACAGGGAAATGTTTAGCCAACAGGCATTCTACCTTTCTGCTTCTGAATCCCTTGGCGTATACTGCTTTCTGGTCATTTTCTCCTAAGCTGTGCATTTCCCGCATGACCCCCCCCACCCCCAGGACTCTGACAAGGTGGGAGCCTCCGCAGAGCACGAGCGTCAGGCTGGGGCACTGGTGGCCACAAGAGGGGCCCCGGCTGCCGGCCCGGAGGACAGAGCGGTCCCCACCGACAGCGTGGCAGGGGTGCAGGAGCAGTGGTCTGAGGAAATGAACTTCCCTGACATTCTCTACGGTGACGTGCTCAGCTCCATGCCAAACACGGGGGAAGCATAACCAGAGAACCTGACGGCGGTGTATCGTTGGTGTTACCCTTAGCATGGGCTGAACAGGTGGCCGCAGCCTGATGCCATGACACGCCTGGGCCACCCGTCCGCCTTCCGCCCTGCTTCTCTGTCCCCTCTGGCACCAGGGGGACAACACACTGACCAGGTGTCAGAGTTCCCCAACCCACACGGCAGTTAGGACTCGGGATGGCCCCTGACTAGCTGGGAGGTCAAGGAGGATGGCGCGGTCTCCGGGGCGGGGAGACGTGTTCGTGGGAAATCGGGGGATCTGCATCTGAGCGTCTCTGAGGCAACGGCGTGCCCGACCTTGACCCGAACGCCCGCAGAGGAGCTGCGAGCCTCACCCCTCGGCGGGCACGTCTTACCGGTGACGTGGAGCTTCTCGTCGGTGACCTCGGCCTTCAGGTAGATGCGGCCCCGCTTCTCCGTGTGGTCCATCCCGCAGAGGCTGGGCACGTTGATCACGCACTGCTTGTGCACGTTCATGTCACAGGCTGCGAATCGGGACAGTGGAGGGTGAGGCTGGCAGATGGGCTCACATCAGTGTTGTGGTGTGCGAGCGCAAGTGCCAGGGAGCTACCCTCTAACTTGAGACTTTGCTATCATGTTTTTGGTGACACGGAGAACTGTTAGCAGATGTCCCTTACAACACAGGCTTCATGTGAATAACAATATCCTTAAAATACCCGTGCCATATTTGTCCAGTCTTAACTGAAGCGAAATCCCCTGGCCTGCTCGTCCATGCTTCAAATATTTAACACCCGGCAAAATTCACACAGGTAAATGGATACAAAGCCCAGGCCAATTAATATTGCATGTATGCAGAGGTGAATTATATGCAAATTTTAAACAGAGGATATTTGTTGCCAAAGAATATCTTCTGCCCGTCTGAGCTTACCGTTCGGGAAGGGTGAGACTCTGTGGACTGAGTACAGGAAAGTCATAAAATTCTTTCCTTAGTTAACTCTGTATTTTCAAGAAGGCTTAAGTACCTTGCTTTTTTTTTTTTTTTTAAAGAACTTGTATTTGAGATTTTAAACCTGTCTGCAAATATTTAAATATTATTCTAAGTAAAACAAATACACGCCCAGCATGATAAGCCATTCCCTGCCAGCTGACATCACGTGGGTGAGCCAGGGAGGAATGAAAAGATCAGTCCCTGCAGAGTGAACCCAGGAAACCCCGAAAAGAATCCTGTGTATCGTCCCTGTTCCTCCAGGCTTCCCAGAGGAGCCAGGGCCACTGGAATCCTCACACGCCCTCAACAGGATGCGACAAAGCTCTTCCTTAACCTTCAAGGTAGAGCCCGCGTGCTTGTTTCCTTTTCAGTGTTTAACGTGGTGAGGCAGATTGCCAAAAGCATCACAAATAATGCATATTTGCTAGGATTCGATATGGGACGCAGGATAACGCACACAATGAGGAAAGAACCATCCTTGTCTCCACCAGTGTGGATCGTGCTTACGTTTCTATTCCCAAACTGTGCCCCACCTCCTCGTAGCCGATAGAAAGGGACATCTGCTGTGCTGTAAGGGACATCTGCTTCTTGACAAGGTGGGCTATTGATGGGACCTGTGTTCACCAACTCCTAGCTTCAAGTGCCAGGGCAGAATTGCAACTTCAAAGAAATTAATGCCAGCCTCTCCGGGGAGGGAGAAGTGCCATGGGGAAGGGAGCCGGGGAGGTGGGAGTGCCCTGGGTTGTTTTCTTGTCTTGGCTCCACCATGAGTGGCTTTCGATTTTGGGAACTTCAAGTGGCTTGCTGATTCTGTTACCTGCCCTGCAAACTAAGAGGCTGGTATGGACAAGGGGTAGCTCCTGTCTTTGCCCTGCTAAGCAGAGTTGTATATGGCATTCTGACCCTGCAGTGAGAAGGCAGAGGGAATGGTTTCTTGTCTGCAGAAGTGAAGGGAGGGGATGGGCATCCATCTGCTTCTCGTCCTCCCTTGAGGATGGAGCATAGGCAGCAGCCCCAGAGGCCCTATGACTCCAAAGACAAGAAGACAAAGCAAAGAGCACTGGTCCAGGTCAGTGGTTTTTAACTTTTTTTTTTTTTTTTTTTTTTTTTTAGTAATGGAACCCATTTTTCAAATAAAATCTTAAGCAGACTCCTAACACATAAACCAGATAAGTGTTAACTTCATCAGCAAAAAGTCAGTAGATCAATGCAAATTGATACATTTATTACAAAGACATTCATCAATCACCAATAAAGCCCTCGGATCCAAACAAAATTTTGAAACCGGCTGTCTCAGTCCTGCACTCACTTCTGCTCTCTCTTAGCGCTGTTCAGCTCCGTAACAGGAGAGTACCTAGAAAGGCTAAACACTGCCCAGCAGCGTGCAGGCTGGCGGACTCCTTGGGGAATCGGACCTTTTGGGAGAAATGTGGTTACACATTCTGCCCAACCAGTGAAGCTGGCAACAGTGTTTCCACCGTCTCCTCTAACTAGTCAAGCTCCAGTGGGTCACACATTCAATCACTTGTGTCCCGCGGTTTTAAAAGAGTTAAAAGTAGATTTACAAATGCACTTAGGATTCGCACGGGCGCAGAACCCCTGAAAACCACGTCTTTGGAGCACGAGGGCTTCTCAAATCAGAGAAAAAGACTGGCCTGGATCATCACAGAGGTTTTGTTTAGGCTGTAAAATCTGACAGCTTCCAAGGTAAAGGACCCCTGTGTGCTGAGAAACTATTCATCTGCTCTATAGTGTTCCTTTCATCTTGATTTTTATATACACGTTGTCTTTGCCCCATGTAGCATATGCCTAGAAAGCTTTGGCCATAATAGAAGGAATTAATGAATGGCAACATATTGACATTTCCATAACACTTCCCTGTCGACTAGAAAAACAGGTTCAGTAATTACCTTTTTTTTTTTTTTTTATCCTGAAAGTATACATTTTTATTTAAACATGTAAATGGCCTGGGAAATCTTACAAGAATTATCAAAGTGAAGAGTTTCCAGGTTTGTGTTCCTTTCTACCTGGTGCTTGAGGATGATACATACAGAGCAGAAAGGGAGGAATGGAGGGGCTGATGCCATCCTTGTCCGTGGCCTTTGGGGGTTCCTCTCTGACTGGACTGACAGAAATCTGGTCTGTGCGCGAACGTGCAGGAGGGTGAGTGAAATTCGGAGTTCTGGTTTTCATTTTCATCGTAGTTTCAGTTTTAAGGAGAGCCTACTGGATTTTTCCACAGTCCACCCACTAATTAGAGACACAGGAAGATAATGACTATGGTTGCTGAGCTTATTTTGAAGCTGAACCAAATGTGGAATCTGGAGGTGGGGATTCTTCTTTCAACACATGGCATTTGCTTTGGGGTTTGACTATCCTGTATTTTACAGTGACTGAAGATTTCTACCACAAAAAAACCCCGTGACAGCACTAACTTTGTTTACAAATCGGGTGGGGTTGGTGTTTTTTTGTTTGTTTGTTTTTGGTTTTGGTTCACAATTAGGCAAGGAAGGATTTTAATAGATGAGTATTTTGATGGTGGAGCGGTCCTACACTTTTTTTGGGTGTGGTACGTATTTGAACGAGTTCTTTTATTGATGAGTGGACGTGGAAAAAGTCCGGAAGCTGAGGTGCTCTTGAAAACCCTGGGTTATCAGCTGCAGAGCCTCACCATCTACTGGAAAAGAAAACTTACTTACTGTCACATTTCATCCCTTGATGAATAAGTCCATACAGCAAGGAGCCACAGTGATCACAGAAGGTGGGGCTTCCATAGGTGTGGATTTTGAACTTGTGCTTGCTTCTGGGGTCCTGGTGGGGGGAGAAGAAGCACATTGTTTATTCCATCATCAAAGGAACACATTTTTGGACAAAGCCAAGGTCAGGTCCCACCATTTCCTCCTTGTCCCATGTCCAAGGTTCAATATGAGGCTGTATGCTATTCTCTGGGATAATATAGCAGGGGGTGAAGCAGGGGGACACTTCACCGCATCGTGTTTTAATAGGCTGCCCATTTTGGACCATATAGTAAATACCCGTGTTTCCTTTCTTTACAGGGTGTAAGTGCACACACCAGGGTTTCCAGCGCTGTTGCCACTTTGGGACCTAAAGTTGTAAAAGTGCCTGTGGGTGGGCAGGGGGTTTTAGACGTCGTGGCATTGCGGTATCTGGGGCCCAGCACAGACTGTAGCACATGGTGGACACAAAAATCAGGGTGTATTTGTGAACTGAGTGACCCTGGATCCACTCAGTGGTCCTGGGGTGATCTCCTTTTGGGCAAGTTTTCTTGAAATACAGCATTAAGACCAGATATGCAGCCAAACCAACAGAGACCTCTTCCTGTTTCTGCACTATTTCCAAAGCATTATACGCATTTGCATGGGCAAACTCCAGGATAATGAGGTGAAAACTGGAAACTGCACTGAAAGCACACTTTCCCCTAGCCCCCTGCTGCAATTTCATTACCTTCCCTAGCATGGCATACAAATTACTGAAGGTACGAGACAGCTTTCTCTCAAGTAGCCTTTTTGTTCCTCAGTTCGCAGAGTACAGATAAGGAAATCAACATTATACACAGCTGAGTGTCGTAACCAAAGAGCACGGACTCTGCAGTCAGACTGCCTGGGTTCGGTCCCATGGCTACTCCCTCCCAGAAGCATGACCTTGGACAAACAACTTATCCTTTCTGCCTCATCTGTAGACTGGGAAATTAACAGCGCTTATCTTACGGGGCTGTTATGAGGACAAAACAAGTCAGTCTTATTAAATGCAAAGGTGGGTCCATCTATTTTGATCGGTGCCTCTACGTCTTGGACCTCTGTTGACTGACATGCAGAAGCAGAGGGTTGAGCCAAAAGATCTTTAGGTCCTGCCTGAAATATAAAACAATTTCATCCTCAAGTCCATATCAGAATATTTCCTTACTAAATTCCTCCTCCTGAATCATTCTTTGCGGCCCAATCAGCAGTAAATATAGAGCTGCCATTAACTGAATTTTAAGGAAGACAACAGAGCAGAAAGGTTTGGGAGAAGGGCAGGAGACTAACAGCTCCACTGCAGACCCCATGAGCCCGACTTCTCCTTCATGTGCAAAGATACACAAAGAAAGCTACTCCTAGCTTTCCGCCTTCTAAGAGCCTAGGTGCTGGTGGTTTGAGAGCATTTCAAAGGGGATTTTGATTTTGTAAGGTGATTCATCTTTTGGTTGACTTTGAAACCTAAAATCCAAGCCACATATGCCAATGAATTATACAGTTGACCCTTGAACAATGTGGGGGTTAAAGGCATCGACACCCACTCCCACAGTTGAAAATCCATGTATCACTTTGACTCCCTCCCCCATTTGTTGGCTGGAAACCTGACCAAGAACACGAAACAGTTGATTCACACATATTTTGTATGCCATATGCAGTATATGCTGCAGTCTTACAATCAAGTAAGCTAGAGAAAAAATGTTGAGAAAAACATAAAGTATATCTAATGTACTATAGAAAATCCGTGTGTGTGTGAATCCATGCAGTTCAAATCTGTGTTGTTCAAGGGTCAACTGTAATTACTTTTTAAAAGTCATGAGTTTGAAAATCCTGGAATATTTCAATCATGCACAATAGTATAAAGAACATTACATGAAACACGTATCACTCAGACCTGACAAATTGTATGGTTATCTTCTTCTCTACAGAGACATTAGTGGCCTTCAAAGTCACGTGGGCAGTGAATAATAGAGCTAGGATTTGACCAATGTTTGCATCTTTAACACTGATTCTCATCCAAGAGCTTAAAAAAAAAAAAAATCCACCCAGAATGAAGATTTGGCTCTTAACATTCTTTTTAAAGCAAAGTTTTAGATTTTCAACACATTTCAAAAAGATTTTATTTATTTATTTGAGGGACAAAGAGTTTGCGAGAGAGAGAGAGAGCATAAGCGAGTGGGAGGGGCAGAGGGAGAGGTAGAAGCAAACTCCCCTCTGAGCAGGGACACCAACCCCCATAGGAGGCTCCATCACAGGACCCCAGGATCATGACCTGAGCCAAAGGCAGACAACCTACTGAGTCACCCAGGTGCCCCAATATAACATTTTTTAAAACAAGTCTACCACCTGTTGTTTTTTTTTTTTTTTAATTTATTTGACAGAGAGAGAGAGAGAGAGAGATCACAAGTAGGCAGAGGCAGGCAGAGAGAGGGGGAAGCAAGCTCACTGCTAAGCAGAGAGCCCCATGTGGGGCTCGATCCCAGGACCCTGAGATCATGACCTGAGCCGAAGGCAGAGGCTTAACCCACTGAGCCACCCAGGCACCCCTCTACCACCTGTTTTATGAATAAAGTTTTACTGGAACACATCTATGCTCATTCATTTATATATTTTCTGTGGCTACAAGGGCAGAGTTGAGAAGTAATGACAGACCCCACAAAGCCTAAAATATGGCTACAAAGCCTAAAATTATTAGCAATCTGACCCTTACAAAAAATCTCTGCCAATCTCCTCCGGACCATGGTTTTCTCTACATGGCACCAGCATGACCTGGAACTTGTCTGAAATTATTTAGCTCCTCCCCAGACCAACTGAATCAGAAACCCTGTGCAGCCTCAAGCTTCATGTGTCAACAAGCCCTTCAGGTGATCCTAATACTGGCCGGTACGCTAAGGACCGAGAGCCACTGCCGGAGAAGGTTAGTTGACAAATATCTAGTAAGTGCCTCCTGGACGCCAGGCGCAGATGTGGGTGGGTGATTGGCAATACTGAGCCAGGTCATCCGTTTCCTTCCTAAATGTCCCTTAGGGTGTGAAAAATCAATGCCATCCGGAGCGCCTGGGTGGCTCAGTGGGTTAAAGCCGCTGCCTTTGGCTCAGGTCATGATCCCAGGGTCCTGGGATCGAGCCCTGCATCAGGCTCTCTGCTCAGCAGGGAGCCTGCTTCCCTTCCTCTCTCTCTCTGCCTGCCTCTCTGCCTACTTGTGATCTCTGTCTGTCAAATAAATAAATAAAATCTTTTAAAAAAATCAATGCCATCCTTGGGAGATTATCGTCCTTATCAAGGAGTGGCTGTGAGCATGGTCTCAAGCCTGGGTTTAGCCTCCGTGAGAGCACTGCACCAATTTCCAGATGTTCGGCAGAATGTTGAGGGCACAGAACAGTGTCAGTATCCATTAACAGTCCCCATGTTTACAGCAAAGGTTACATCCTACCACGTGGAGGGCAAAGAGGATGCTAGGGGAAAGGAAGCAGCCAGCTTTCCCTGCAGAAGCAAGGCACCAACGACTGGCCCTAGATAAAGATCGCACGGCAGCTCGCACTCAGCCCTCTGGAGCCTGCGCGTGCCAGGCGGCTCCGGGGCGGCTATCCTGCCAGTGGGCTGTCACACAGATCTCTACCGATGTGGCACACGGGCGACTTGCTTCACTTTTCAGGAAAATCTAAGTCTTACTCCTCCGATCCCCAGATGGCATCTTCAGGCCTCAACTGTGAGGAGGTGTAGGAAGAGAGGAAACCACTCCTTCCACCTCCTGTGGAAGTCTGGAGAATGACCAAGTCCTGGAGTCCTCACGCTCCAAAATCATGAGCGGCCAAGGATCACGCCTATGTTAATGAGAATAATAGTAACACAATAATAGTAACACTTGTTTGCTGATCTTCACAGGTGTGCAGGTGCTTTAAAATGGACAGGACCTCTCCTACAAAAAGAGCTTCTACTGGGATTCTGGAGACCTGGGGTTGAACTCTAGTCCTGATACAAACTCAGCAATTTTGGACAAGTCATGTCACTTATTTACAAAGCAGAAATATACCTATGTCAGTGCCCTGGGGGTGGGGCCCATCTTTGGGAACATATGAGATAGGGCTTTGCAAACCCCAAATCCCTAAGTAAATATAAGGTTATTACAATTACATTATCCTTGGAAGTAAAGTCCAAGATGCTCAAGGTTTTCCAACAATACTTTAGGGACTTGGATCAGAATGGGAAGGAAAAGGAAAGCTGATCAACTTTGGGGCCCACGGGGGGCTGGATCAGAGGCCCAGTTGGCAAGGAGGCAGGGGACTTCCTTTGGGATCCTGAGTTCTCATCCCCTGCCCTGGAGTGGCCTTCCCAGGCAAGTGCCCCCCACTGGGTGGTGACATGTGAACACAGAGCCCGTCGAGCCAACCCGCCTGTGTACCGCTCCCACCATCAAGACAGCTCATCTCTGTCTCCGCAGAAATGGAATGCAGGAGCACAGACACTCATTTCCAGTTGAATTAATCTCACCTTGTCTGACAAAAGAAACCACAGTGTTAGCTAAAGAGCTAGAACTTATGATGATTTACAGAAGCAACTGTCCTGAAAAGCTCCAGGCTCTTCCTGTTCCTATCCATAGCTGCTAGCTAGTGGCGCGCTTTACTTCTCCGGGCTCTGATCTCCTCATTGGGAATCCGAAGGGACTGGGTCAGCACTTACAAAGGGGCAGAGTTCCCAGGGCCCACCAGCTGTCAGGAGTACCCATGGGCTGCTGAGGGCACGGGAGGGAGGCCAGTGCTAAAATACCAGCATGAAAACAACCAGACAAGATGATCCCTTTGATTCTTGCTTTGAAGACGAAGACAAACTTTTAATTTTTATCCTGATGTATTTTAAGACTCCCAGCAGTTTGTAAAAATAGTATGGACTGTTCCTATACCTATATATGCTCCAGCTGGCCTTCCCCAGGGAACACGTCTCACATAACCACAGCACATCGGCAAAACCAGGACCTGACACCGCAACAAAGCCATTAACCACCTACTTCAGGGTTTCACCAGATCCCGCACATGTACTTCCCATGCATGTATTATTACC